TTTTGATGAGCCTGTGACTGCGGCTATAAAAAAGATCTCCGTTCAAAATGTCCTGCCAAGGACACAATATGCAAATCTTGTGGTAAAGTTGGCTACTTTCAGAAGATATGCCGATCGTGTAACCATGGCAAACGCACCGTGCCTGCTATAGAAGATTCATTCCTATCCTTAACCACTGCTGCCGCACCGCATTGTCTTATAGATGCAATGATGAAAATCACTGCTAACGTGGTTGTCCTATCAGCGCTCATCAAAACAGGTGTCTAAGAGTTACGTCTCATGCATCGTAGCATATCAGAACCAATGGGAAGTATTTCGCTCTTACAATCAAATTACTATGGCTTCTATGTTGCACGATACATTCACGAAGAGTCACTGTTTGATTAACATCGCTCACAACCCAACGTTTACGTTTTCAGTAACTGTTAGGGAGGGATTTGACAACTGGAAGTAGGAGCTGGATTAAGCAGCGCTACTCACGTTTGACTCCAAAATTCCTATTGGTGGTGGAAACGGATGATTCTGACGTTGCCATAGCAGCAACGTTGAACCAAAGTAGTAAACCGGTGGTATGTCTCTCTGTAACGTTTTCCGTGTGTGAGAGAAGTCATTGAGTAATCGAGAAAGAGGTCTATGCCATTGTTGAAGCTTTTAAAAGGTGTCAACATCTCATCGAAACCAAATTAGTCAGTAGGAACTCCCGAGGAACCATAACAAACCGAACGAAAAATGTACCCTGGAATCCTTAAGATCACAAAGTTTAGAGGATGAACGGGGCGAAAATGAAGTAACTCCGTTGCTGATGCTGACTCCAGAGGAATTGAGCCGAAAATATGTAGCAGTACCATAGAGTCTTGGTGTAGGATATATGGACTTCTCTAGGGAGCTTTCTAGCATGTCTTTCAGTGAAGGAGAACATCAGAGACAATAGAGGTTAAAAGAATTTAGTCTTAGAAAACAAGAGGAATAGTCTCCATAGGCCACCTGTATATTTGACGATATTCGAGTATCTGGTGAAGCGTAAATCCCAACGCAAAAACATAGTGCACTGTGTGACAGTGGATGCTGACTTGGGTACATTTAAGCAAAATTCCTAGAGAACAGCGGAGTCGTCCTATGATTATACCTGCCAGTATCATGGAGTCAATGATAAGGTCAATGTCGTGACGGCTGTCAGAGAGCATATGTTGGCTCGTTTAATAACGGAAGACAATCGGCTTGAAGTTACCTTCTATATTCGAATAGAATGGATATGAAAACATTCCGAAGTCGCCACTCTGTTCAGCACCGGCAGTAGGTCCCGTGCTCCTTGGTTCCCATTAACAGCGCCATAGGTTCGAGTAAAAATGCTGTCGAACACTGTTTTGGACCTTTTATTAATGTGATGCAGGGAGGCCTTTATGGTACAATGCAAAATGGGTCTTAAAACATAAGAAAAGGAACGATATAACGGAATAGGTCCCAAGACAAAATTTTGTGTGGAGAATAAGGTGAATGCCGGAATCTGGCAGGCAACACCGGACCCATGTACTTCAGGATGGCTTTTACAGTTTCAGCAACAACCACGTAAATGGTGATCGCTGCAATGCGTCTGAAGCGTTGTGTCAGATTTGGATGCATCAAACCGCAAACAAGCACTAAATCAGTCAGTAAAAGGAAGAGAAAACGAAAAGGTCGTCGAAGTGGTCACCGAAAGAAGAATTGTCAGCAAAGCGACCTAAAATCAAAACCATATATGTTGCAGCCGCTAAGCGTCAGCCCTAACGACATCCGTCTAGTCCGATTGCATCCCAGTATATGAGGTACTCAGGTGAGAGTTACCTATGCGTTGAACATAATTTTATGAAAGAAAAGGAACCAACAAACTTAAGTCGACAAAAGCAATATAGGAACGCCTATTCTTTCGGCAACGTGTCTCATAAAAATATAGTGTTAAGATATTTTGGTTACCTACCGTGGTGAGGTGCAACGAAAAGCCACTGAGACGGTAAACAATTGTGGGACAAAAAGAAAAAAACAAGTACTGGGAGAAATGATTCAGTCAATGGTGCGGTCCTTAACTAGGAATACGGAGTGCGTTAGTGGAAAAGAATATAGTAGCCAGTCCCAAGCTGACGAAACGCGCAGCTAATGAATTGTCGTTAGTGGATTCTGCCAAATCGGCTCCAAAGAAGATCTTTACATATATTAACTGACGTCTTAAACCGAAGGATTCGTTGCCAACACTTGAAGATTCCAGCGGTCAACGGAGATTTTCAAATGAGGCGAGAGCGTCGCTTCTGGCGTCTCACCTCGCCTCAGCCTTCTCTCCGTGCCAGTCACTCAACTCGTCCACTCTAGCCTACACAAAGTAATAGAATTGAAGTGCAAAGCTGAAGAAGTCGCTGGTATGCTGGAAGTTCTTGATACGTCCAAATCTCCTGGACCGGACGGTTTTCATCCCTAAATGCTGAAAACACGCTCCTGTGATATCTATCTCCCTCTGATGTGTTCAATAAATCGCTAGGTCAGAGAGTGATACCACGGGAATGGAAGGATTCTGTTGTGAAATCTTTTCCTAAAGGAGGTAACCAACACAAACCCGAAAATTATCGGCCAATAGTGACCAATAATTGCAAAGGTCTTAGAGAGGATAGTAAAGAAGGCCCTATTGCAGGTGGTGGAGACATGTGGAATTCTCAAGGCAGCTCAACAAGGATTTTTGAGCCAACGTTCATGTGTGACGAACTTGTTTGTGGCCCGGTAACACTGGGTGAGGGCGTTAAATGATGACATCGGCGTTGACGTCATCCTGGTTGATTTCAGCAAACCGTTCGACAGAGTTGATCACACCGAATTGCTCAACCGACTTAGAACTTATGGGATCGGTAGCGCTCTTTTTCGGTGGATCAAACCGGTCGTTGAGGATAGGCATTAGAGAATTAAGGTAAATACTATACTGATTGGTTTGCGTCCTCGAGTGGCGAACCCCAGGGTACAGTGCTGGGACTTATCTTGTTTCTTCAACATTTCAATGATGTGAATGAAAGACTGAAATCGCCTTGTGTGTTATGTTCCAATGACCTCAAAGTATGGCGCGAGATCCGAGGAGCAGAGGACCATGTCATACTCCAACAGGACTTGGTCGCAACGGCGGAAACTGCCCACTGCTCCCACGAAATGCGAATTTCTGAGCATCGACAGACAGTCATGAAGGTTCATACTTCTTGAATCGAAAACAACTTACCGCAGTTTCTAGTGTCCGCAGTCTGGGAGTGTTGTCACGCGGAGACCTTAAGTCATGTGATCATACTAAAAAGACGTACCGATCAGGCTTAAAGGTACTCTGGGCACTAAAAAGGAGTTCACATATATGGACGGAAGAACTAGTTCTACCCAGCACTAGTACGTCCTCTCTTGGAATACGGCGCACCAGCTTACCATCCTGTTACGCGGGGTGAAGCTAGAACTCTTGAGAGGGTGTAACCCCTGGCTACGCGGATGATTCCTTTTCTTCGGACAGTGACTTACGCTGATCGATGTCGGCGATTAAGGTTGCATACTCTAGAATACCGGCGTCTAAGAATGGACCTCATGACGGTTTTTCGACTATTACGGCTGGGACGGTTACCGTCCCTTCGTCCTGTTTAAAAGCAATGAAACCAGCATTACTAGGGAACATCAAGGCAAGCTAAAGTAACACGATTGGACAATGTAAGGCATGTGTACTGTTTTGAACAATGAGTCGTGCCTTACTGGAATCGTCTACTAGCGATGATTGTGCAATCTGAAACCCTCGACCAATTTAAAAAAGGCTTGGACTTTATCTTGCCGATCTGTGCTATAATGAAGATGTCTCAGCGGCACTCCAACCACCCATCAAGTACTCAACCGCTGGACCTAGAGTGTACCTGGAATGACATCTTATTCACTTTTGATGGAGTACACACAGAAGTTTTGTCTTTTTGCTCCTACTAAATTTGATTCTGATTCTGATACCTTAGTAATTTCTGCAACGCAAAGCAGATTGTCGACAGGCATGCTAAAAAAAGGCACCTACTGGGTGTATGTAACATGGTTTTATCATTTTGTCTAGCGTAATGACGGGAAATCCGTCGACCGACATAATGTGACGGATCCTAGGAACACACATTTAGTATAGTGACTTGTAGTCAAAAGTGAATGATTTATAATTAAAAAAACACGGAAGCACAGTATCTATCCTTGGTGAATACAGCAGCAGCATGGATGGACACAGTCATTTGACGGGATTTATAGCAACAACCACTGTCTACAAAAGTAATATACAACTTGTAAACTAGTACTAGTAATAGCGGTGAAGCCACTGAAGTCTAAAAAATCTAGTGACATAAGTAAAGCACCCATCTGCCACAGCGAATGCCTAAATCGGCAGCAGTACTATGCATTCTTAAGTGAACCCTGTGCTATACATGCAGTATGACTCATCAACCGATTTAGTCGGGCGTGCATAGTGCCTTAGCCCACGGACGTATGAGGGTACAAAAGCAATACCAGCAGTGCAGTGTACCCCAATGAATAGCGATACTTGAAAAGGGATACATTGTTGTCCTTTAATATCAGATGTGGTTGCGAATGTATCTAGAATTAGGTGGCTGGAAACAAAACCGGATAATACTACAAACACTAAAAGAAACGTAAGACAGGCGAGCACTACTTCAGTAGAAAGGAAAGCATGAGGAAAGTATAGGAAAGGACACGGGAATATGAGCCGACGCTTTTATCAGACACAGGCAATAGAATCATGATCAAGCAGAAACGATACAAAAAGATTAAAAAGAAACCTTAAAAATTTTACGAAAATATACGGTAACCGAATATGAAATAAAAAGAGTGCAACATCAAACGGCGTTTCATAAAAGAATAGAGCAGAAAATAGTATATTGCCTTAGTTACAAAAAAATGATCCATTTTATAACATTTAGTATGGACACATAATAAGAAGGTAAGCAAAAACACAAATTAGAAAGGCGATAACTTACCGAGTGCGCATGGAGTAAACTACAAAAGAAAATATTTAAAGGTATACTCAGTGTAATTAAACGATAGAAAAGCATTAAAAACTATCACAAATAGTCCAATATGCTAGTAAAATCCTACGATGGCACAGATAGTATGCTATATAAGCAAATAAGAAAGAAAATTCGAAATGGAAGTGCAGCATGGAAAGTTTGGTGAACACCAAAGAGTGGATAGAAAGGGAAAATAAGCAAACTGCCTGTCTTCGACGTCCGATGCGTAAAAAGATTCTGAGAGAGGCGAAAACAGCACGAATTACAACGAAAAGACTAAAAACCTACCACCAATCTGGGGGCAACTTCGGAAACGAAACCAATGTGAGCAGCGCGGGTTTGAACCGACCTAACGTCGTTCAACGTTGATTGGCCAATTGAGCAAAGAATAAGGCAGCGATGCAGTTAAACCAAAAAACCGAGTTTGAATGGCGCATCGTAGACAATTAATTCAGGATATATCATGTTGAGCAATGTTTATTGCAATAATATAACATCTAAATAAAGGTCCTTATGCTGAATGTTTAAGTTCAAGTCCAAGCGGGACTGGAACGATAGGATTATCCCGTGAGTGTTCCTTCTTCGGCAGGTCGTTTAACAAGGAGTTGGCGCACTTTGAAATATTGACGGACCTAAAACAAAGACCGCACTACACCCTGTCCAACCCATTAATGCCCATGTATCGTGCCCTAGCAGTCTCTGCTGGGCAGGATACTTGAGGCAAGAGAAAAAGTAAACTGGGAAGGCAAAGCGAAAGTGGAAAGAGCTAAGCAAGTGAACTAACAAGATAGTTGAGTCACTATAGATGCACTGCAAAGTGAAGTTCAGTCAGCTGGGAAAAAGGAATAGTTTGCTGTTTCCACCCAAGTGCATCGTGCTGGCTCGCAAAACCCTTAAGCATAGGTTCCCTAACCAAGTGATCTGGAAGCGAATTCCAGCAAGCTATAACTCGGCGCGACAGAGGAGTTTTCGTCCTTCTCCTATCAGACCGTGGTTTACACAGTTTCAGTAGGTGACCGCGGAGATTAGGTAAAGCAGTGGGACTAAATAGCCCTGAGAAGTCCGGGCCAGTCTTACCCGTCAAAATACGATAAGTGAGAATCAGGTCCCCTCTTATCCTTCGGTAGTGCATTGGGTACATCCCCAAACTGAGCAAGCGTTCAGGATACGTCCATCTCCGTAGTCCCTGCACTAACCTAGTGCCCCCTCGTAACACCCTCTCCAAGTCCAGTTTGACTCGGCTAAAACATGGTGGAAAATCCTAAATAAAATATTCCAAGTGGGGTCGGACGAATGCCGAGAATATCTTCACAAACAAATTGGCCGTTAGGATTCCGAAAGAGCGGAGGATAAACCAATCGTACGAAACCCTCGACAAACAGCCTTCTTCCAGTTGTCTCCAGAATGACGTCCTGATGCGTGTACGACTCCTAAATCGACCTGCTGCCTGAAAACAGGGAGTTCACTACCGCGGACAACGTATCGGGTGGGAGGATTAGCAGTTCCGATACGGAGAACAGATTACCTGGACCTATTTCGGGGCACCATCCATAAGGTAGACCATTCCAAGAGCCTATTAAAGGCAGGCAGAATTGCCTCAGGTCCCTCCGGGTTATCCACAATATTCCAGAGCCTAAATAACTAACTAAATAAATAAATGGTTTATTCTCGCCATTGCGAGGCACACCATCAATGGCGTGATCATGGTACTACAGGCATGAATGAATGGCATTGCACATATTAGTATATTTTGAAAAAAGCATAGGAAGACAGGTGTCTGTTGACATGTTATAGCATGTTTAGGTCTGTATTTGGAAGTAGCCGTGTTTTGTGCTCAGGTAAATGTGACCCTGTGTGTGTTTCTTCGTTGGGTGTGCCATCATAGGGGCAACTAATGGAACGCTTCGAATCGGATGGCGTTCGTGGTGTGTGTAGGATCCTCCGGGAAAGGGAAGAGACAGCGATTTGTTTTAGTGGCGAGTCACATGCGCTACGTCACAGCGTTGTTAAACGGATATCTGTGATTTTTTCTAGGGAGAACGCTTGCCAGGTGAAATCCCACCACATCCTGGAACACTTACGCCGAACCATTAACTGGAACGGGATTTTCTGAACCCCCCAACTAGCACCACGGGGAGTTTGTTCGGCTAGCTAGCAAACAGTAGTGATGACACCCCTAGCTCTCCCGGCAAGTCATCTACATAAATCGCGAACAACAATGGCCCCAATACCACGCCCTGCGGGAAGTCACTAAGGACAGCTTGCCTGAGCGAAATGCTACCCCGCACCCTACGTATAGTTCCCTCCCTTCACGGAAGGCAGACACCCATAGACGAACGCGACCAGATATACCATAAGGTCTCTACTTTAGTGGGCGCCGACGATGTGGTACAGTGTCGAAAGCTTTCGAAATATCTACGAATAGCGCGTCTACAGCGTGGACACTGTCTACCGCTTCTGTCCAGCCTTCATGATCTGCAGATAGTTTGGTCTTACATGAAAATCTCTTGCGGGCTTTATGTTGCGTAATAATGAGAGTGTTGAATCTATTCAGGCAGTTCTCTAGTGAATCCCTTAGCAGCTTTTCGAACAACTTGACTACTAGGCTTGTCAAACTGACAGGCCGGTCGTTCGCGGATAGAGCACTGCCACGTCACTTAGAAATCGGAGAGATGATTGCCTCCTTCCATTCCGAAGGTAGGATGCAGCTGTCCAGCGAAATTGAAAACACGCATATGAAGGGAGCACTCAGCTCAGTGGCCAATTCATGCAACAGCTTCTGATGAATTGAATCAGGACCGGAAGCATCAGAGGGATTAATGCCTTGCAGTAGCTCGAAGACCTGAGTCTCCGTTATGTTAAACTCAGCTAAGCAAAGATATTCTAGAACTCATGGAATTAATTCACCCAATGGTAAAGAGGTCTCCCGAACAAAGACCCAGTATACTGATCAATAAGTATACACGCCTTGTCGCAGCCGGTTTGCGCACGGGCCCAGTCTGCTCGCAATAATGCTGGTATAGACAGTTTTGGCCCGCTGCGTCTTTTAACGTATGCAAAACTTCTTGGGATTAGCTGAGGCCTGGTCCGCTACAATCATATTCTCTCTATAGCCATAGTATATATATCCCATTCTCGTTCCAACTTTAACACTCCGTCTCACTCTTTCACCCAGCTGTTTCGCTAGCATCTGATTATTGAACATTTTACGTTATTATTTTCATGGGTCTCAAACCCGGCGTAGTAACTCCCCTGACTCTCATACATGTTCGAACAATGAGCTCTACCACTGTCAACCCATCGCTCAACCTATATCCTAAGCGCGTTTTAAACCTTCCTATGTGCTTCTGATTCCCCTAACTCCTTTAAAGGTTAACGCCTGATACTTCCGGTTCCAAAGCAGGACAGCTTTTGTGTACGCTAGTTAACTTCAGACAGCATTTGTCTCTCACAATCAGCGAATACCGGGGCTCGTGCTTGCACCCGGATACGATATATAACATATTCGGTCATTCCATTGTTGTTAACCAGCAGGTTGCCATGAATTTTTATATCTATATATTGCCATGGTCCTGCTAAATTTCCTTGGCGGTTTGCTCGGTCAGTTTTTCTTTTCTCCCTTGTTCTAAAGGAAAACATTACCTGCACGCAACGTCTCGGAGGCCATACTTGCGATGCTCACCTGGACACGGCATCAACACAGAACAAAGAAAGCAATCGCACTTCGCAATCCTGGTATACTAAAGGAACCCAGAAAACAAATCAAACCAGTAAAATTCACCTGAGTTATCCTACTTCAACAACTCCACCCGTCGGGGTTCGACCCCGATGGAGACTACGTAAACATGGGAAACAACTTGGTGAAACCTGGCTGCGAACATCCGCGAAGGTAATCGGTCAGATTCAATCTTGTCAATGTCATATCACCAATTGGCAGTGTTCCAGGACGTGGTGGGTTTACGTCTGTCAAGCGCTTTCCCTACAAGAAGCCACAACTATCTGCTTAACAACCGTGCGACATGGCGGATGTGACTCTCCACTCGATAAATTCACTGCCCCAATCACATATTGGCAAGTTGCCCGTTGCCAAATGTACAAATTCTATGCATATACCTGCTTTCGTACGAACATGCCTACACATTCATGCAGTTACAGGCCACTATTCTTAAATATTTTTGCAACTTCTCCCTCATGCTTCACTCACCTGACTCGCCCTGTGCACCCAACCTCCTCGGGCTAGTCCCTCACCAACATACTCTACATTAGGGATCTGATTCTTTTCTCTACGTCTCGCATTCTGTGGACATAGACTTCGTACAAGCTTTGGCACTATGGGCCCACACTACTGACTTCATTTGTACTACTCCCGCGCTTGACGCTGCTAATAATGCTGCAATGTACAATATTACAATCTATTGATCATGCCCAAAAGTAGTGCCTCGCTTTGTCAAGAATAAAATATTCATTTGTTTATTAGAAACGAACAGTTCTGAGATGTTGCTTACATTTATTTCTAATCTCTCGATAACTATCATAGGTACTGGCTGATGGAGTTGCTTGGTAGGTTCGCCAGCATCTAGACCGTTTCTTGAATAGGTACTTGACTGTGGTACCTATTCATTGAGGCTGCGTACTTAGCCTCTTTTCCTCGTGAGTGGAATATAGGGAGTGGAAACCTCAGTAAGGTATGCCTTAAATTTATCGCAGGCTAACTAGACAGAGTCAGCCATCGAGATCTCACAGTTCAGAACTGAAGCCTTAGCTCGTATTGCACTAAAGTCCGCCCGCCAAATATTCGGAAGTAATTCAACAGCGGTCTCTTGGTGTCTTGAAAGAGCACTTCGAAATGATACGCATGCGTGATCGTTGAACCCTAGAGGTGCACCGTAGGGAACGTCAGTCACGAAGTCGAAGGACTTAGCGAAAACCAAATCTAAAGTAGATGGTATTTGGTTGTCCATATACCTAGTGGGAAAAGCCACGAACTGATACAAAGGCACTTGGAGAACCAGTTCAAGTAAGTCTGCACCGAAGGTTCCTAATGCGGAATTGCTAGAAAGATCAGCCCAACAGACTTCCGGGAGGTTAAAATCCCCTAGAACTAAACACCTGTTCACAGACTGAGTTCGAATAAAGTCAAGTATCCCCTGGAGGAACTATCAGGACTGCTGCATATCACCATAACTGTAAACTGGGTAGAGGAAGTGAACAAAACAGCCGTGAGGGCTTTAGCCATATGATCCGACGACTGGAAAGTGCAGGTACTCAACACATCTAGGTTACAGCTCACATAGAGTAAACCGCCTCCGCCTTGGCGACCAACGAAGAGATCAGTTCTAAGCAGCGCGTAGCCAAGTAAACTTACTTC